ATCCTAGGTTGTTGCCACCCAGGGTCAAGCAGCATTAAGCTTTGGGGAATCAGAGAAGGGACTTCTGGGCAAGGGCCCCAGGGCTGGAGCCAGCTGGAAAGGATGATAGGAGACTCACCCTGTGGGAAATGGGTTTGAGAAATATGTACGTATTTCACCACTTCTATTATTCTGTATTCCAGCGTGTTTATTCTCTAATTTATCTTTTTTACACTCAAAGCTAGACATGAAACTCTGGCCCTGATCAAAACTGAACATCTGCAGAGACATTTTCTTAGAGCCCCACAGGCAGCAAACGTGCCTCTGGTCTACCCCCACTGACTCCGTGTGGGCCCTGGGTGGGAGCTTCCTTACTTGTCGACTCTCCTTCTCTCAGTCTGAAATGCCCTTGTTGGTGTTAGGTCTGAGCTCCTCCCTGGACTTCATCTCCACACCTACACTTTTATTGTTATTTTCTCCCCCTTTGGTCTCTTTATTCCCAGTGTTTGAAATTATCAGGCTTCAGGCTCAGAGTTCAATGCCTCTGGAGTGCAGCTCTACACTGGCCTTTAGAGAGGAGAGTGGGTCCTGGCTGATTCATTCGGGTCTTAACCTGGCCCAGCCTTCCTGTAGCCCATGTTCCTCAAGAGCCCCCTCAGCTGCACTATAATTTCACGCAGTCCTGAGGGACTGCGCCCTCCCGGACACATGGGGCTGGGCCTGGGATGGGACTTATCACTACGGTGCTCAGGCTCCCGCTCCCACTCCCACGGGGGCACCCCTGAGCTTGTGGATGCAGCTGGCACTGCGACGTCACAAGGTCTCCGCCCTTGGTCTGCTGATGACCACAGTCCCAGCTGGGAGAGGCCTCAGCCCTGCCTGACCCTGCCATGGACAGCAGGCTCTCCTTCTGGGTGATCCTGGGTCTCCTGAGAGCAGGTGAGTTCTGGCAGTGCTTGGGAAATTCACATCCTGCCTTTACCTAAAGTCAATTTCAGACTTTTGCCCCATTCTCTTTCTGGCCTCTGTTTCCTCCACAGGACACATGGAACCTGGAGTCCACCAAACTCCTCGCCACTATGTGATAGAGATGGGACAGGATGCAACTCTGAGGTGTAAGCCCATTTCTGGTCATCTTTACCTCTACTGGTACCGGCAGACCCCAGAAAAAGGAGTGGAGTTTCTGATTTCTTTTACTGACAAAGCTGTTTCAGACAAGGCAGACTTTTTCAACGATCGATTTTCAGCTGAGCCGCCTGACGGGTCATCCTCCACCCTGAAGATCAGAACTGCACAGCTGGGAGACTCAGCCATTTATCTGTGTGCCAGCAGCTCAGCCACAGCCTTGCAGACACATTTCCTGCCCTTGCAAAAACTCAACAGTTCTTCTCTCTTCCCAGGCTCTTGACAGCTCTTCCCTGCCTATGGGTGGGCAGGGAGATGTGTGGTTGAGGCTGCAGGTGCTTCCAATAATGGAGGTCAAAAGCTAACTCTTGGGCCGAGCCTGTGGCACACTCGGGAGAGTGCGGTGCTGGGAGTGCAGCAGCGCTCCCGCTGCGGGTTCGGA